TTGTGCTATAAGTAAACTGAGTCGATATACGAGCAATCCAGGCCAATCTCATTGGATGGCAATGAAACGAGTTTTGGGATATTTAGAACATACCCAGAACTTTGAATTGCACTACAGTAATTTCCCTGCGGTGATTGAGGGATACTGTGATGCAAATTGGATCACCGGTTCAACTGATTCTAAGTCCACGAGTGGATATGTATTCACTATTGGTGGAGGAGCGGTATCTTGGAAGTCGTCCAAACAAACATGTATTGCCCGCTCTACAATGGAGGCTGAATTCATAGCCTTAGATAAAGCCGGTGAAGAAGCTGAATGGCTCCGGAATTTCTTGGAAGACATTCCATTTTGGCCCAAACCGTTGGCACCAATATGCATACATTGTGATAGTCAAGCGGCAATTGGAAGGGCTGGGAGCGTTATGTATAACGGTAAATCTCGTCATATACGACGAAGACATAAAACCGTTAGGCAATTACTCTCTAGAGGAATTATCACGATTGACTATGTAAAGTCAAGTGATAATGTGTCGGATCCACTTACAAAAGGCCTAACTAGAGAGGTAGTTGAGAAATCATCAAGGGGAATGGGGCTATGGCCGAGAACAAGTCATTGTGGCGGTAACTCTACCTAGAAGACTGGAGATCCCAAGATCTAGGTTCAAGGAGATCAAACAAAGTCATTAATGACGGTTCAACATTGTCAAAAAAAATTTTAGTCCATTCTCGTGATGAGACAATGTTCAGTACCAAGGATAAAGCATTAAGGCTTTTTAATGATTTCTAAATTTGATACAGGGTATATCAAATAGTGTATCTACGGGATGACACGTTTAGGAATCACCTATGTAAGTGTGAAGTGTTAGCCGCTTCAAGGAGAATTTTGCAAGGCCAATTCTCTACGCACTTATGAAACCAGGCAGTGTTCATGGCTGAAACGAACACAACAATGAGAACCAAAGACGGTTAAGGGATTGATTGTGTGACTTATGGTTGTCTAGGTATACACTAAAGTTCGACGGTTCAAAGATATCAAATCTACCGATTGACCGAGTATATCCGACATAAGTTCACTATGGAAAGTTCAAAGGGAAACCTACTTATCCAAATGCAATTAATCCTTGCTTGCAAATCACACAAGGTTTTTATGCATACTTCTGTGATATAGTCATTCCCCATTCATGTAAGGGATTGTTGAGTTTTGGATTGTTGAGTTTTTGTTTAAGATGAAATAGTCTTAAAATGAGAGTGAATGGGAAATGGGATTTGGATTTGGATTCGGATTNCTGATTCGAAGTCCACAAGTGGATATGTATATACTATTTGTGGAGGAGCGGTATCTTGGAAGTCGTCCAAACAAATATGTATTGCTCGCTCTACAATGGAGGCAGAGTTCATAGCCTTAGATAAAGCCGGTGAAGAAGCTGAATGGCTCCNAACCAAATTTATTTGTTAATAGTGACTATTAACGTGATATAATTCGTGTTTGTAACGGATGTTTTCCAATCCGTGTATTGTGTTGCACCAAGAAAGCAACAAGATGCCTAGTGCACCTCCCACCATGGCCAAGTGCTCCTCCCACCAAGCAAGTGTTCATTCCACCATGTAAGTGCTTCCTCCATGATATCCTAATGCTTGTTCCACCATGGAGGGGATGGACTTCTCTCACATGACTGCTATAAATAGAGCAGAAGTTGTAGAGAAAGAAGAACACACCGGAAAAAAACACTCGAAACACACAGTATACAATTGATATACACTCTGTATGTAATTGATATACACTCTGTATATAATTGATATACACTCTGTATACACTCAAACTACACTCTGTATACACTGTGTATACACTGGAAAAACGAATTGCAATCTGATATCCTCTTCAGTAAGAATTCAACATCGGCTATACATTGCATTCCTTCCTCTCAGAATTTCCATTCGACTTCTGAGTTCTCCTCCCTTGTTCTGCATTGTTTTAAAACTACAAACAAAACAACTGTAAGTGTGATTTGCTGCCGAACTTTGTGTTCGCTGAAATACTGGGGTTTGAAGTACCGCTACACCAGTGTGTAATTCGTTCTATCCTGGGAGGAAATAATCCATAACCTTGGGTACTAGGAGGGGATTAAATTCCTTAAGAAAACACTGTGAATTCAGTGAGCTCGAATTAATTTTTGTTTCAATTATATCATTTATATTTACGTATGTTACTGCTGTAGGTAGCTCATAAAGAAGGTAATATATATCTAAGAGTGGAAAAGTTAAAACTTGATCTTCCATCATTCCATATTTATACCAGATAAGAAGTACTATACAGGAAACAAAAAGAACAGTTTTCGGACTGATCATTCAAAAATAGCCAGCGTTTGCAAAGTTATTGAAAAATAGCCACTACTTTACTGCAACACGGAAAGTCATAATATACTGGAGATCGGTGCACTTGTGTATGAACTTCCAGCATATTATCTTGGAACTCCAACACGCGAAAAGTTCCACTATGTTATGCTGGATCGGTATTTTATACTGGAACTCCGGTATAATATACTGGAGTATTTTTCCGAATTTTGACCAGTATTTTCGTTCAGATTTATTTTTACATAAAAAGTGGCTAAATTGCGATTACTTTTGAAACTGTGGCTATTTTTGAATGACCACTTGTAAATCTAGCTATTTTTGAATTTCTCCCTAGTAAGAATAGCTAATTATAAAGCAACTCTGATGAACAGTAAATGAAATGGCAAGAAAGTAATGAGCATATATTTTCTTCTCGGTGAACGATTGAATCTCACAAATGGATGGGATCCCCCTTTATATAGTAGGGGAGTCCTAAATAAGGTACACTTCTAAATTCTAGTTATAGTAGGAAATCATATTTGACTGTTGTTTAACTTCCGAAGACCAATCCATTCCAAAATTCACGCCATGATCTCCGGCTCGTCGCGGGTATCTCGCTCTTTCCGTTACTGAATCATACCGGCGTCATCTAGAAGCATGCTTTCTTCTGACCTTGGAAAAGAACTTCGACCCCGACCTTGGAAAAGAACTTCGACCCCGAGCTCGACGTCCTGGTCTTCCGACGTGGTATCACTTTTTTCATTGAAGAACGAAATCGGGTAGCCCCGATTTTCACTGTATACAATATGGTAACTGAACTAATGAAAATTATTTTAAAAAGTTGTTTTATTTTGTTTTATAACTAAAAAGTCACTCATTTTGCTCATTGTAATTGAAAAGTCGTACCCTTTGTGTCTTCTGCTTTGATTTTCTATTGAAGTTGGGGTTGCACATGAAGTGAAAATTTTGTGTGCAAGTTTAATTACTTAACTTTTAATTACAAAGTATTACTATAGTTTAGATTGAATAGGACTTTTAGGTTGATAGAAAGTCACGACTGAAACATAGAAAGCAAAGAAGCTCACTATCTGAAAGAACTTTAAATATTCTTGTTTGCTTAATTAAATGATTGGACAAAATGGAACAAAAACGACTCAAGGATTAGTGAAACTATTCCAACCCACACATTTGATATTGTTTAACTTATGCTCTGCTGAAGATTTTTGAACAACTCAATCCAACACTTTTGCATGGTCGATCTGTACTTGTTTGACCAAAAAATATAGATCTTGATTCGAATAATTAAATTTGTATGAATAAGGATTAATCTTAGCTAACAATAATATCCTTAGATGAAGCTCTTAAAAAAGCAACAAATATTATGTAGATCGGGTCGTACATCGACAATGGCATATAATACATATTCCAGAAATCAGAAGTAATAATATAGCATTCAATGATAATGAATAACAATAAATGGCATTTAAGTAAATAGAAGGAATAAGTCACCTAAGAAAGGATGGAATAAGTGGATGTTCTTTCTGACAATCTCATGAATATTTGAGTTATTCTCGGATCTAGTGAGAAAGTATAGACAAAAATCTCAGTGAAAAGGTGATGTTTGTATCTTAGCAAGTGAGATCTGATTTTTTAAGTCAAAGTGTGTTCTTTACAAATGAATATCATATGTCTCCTATCATTGTGTATTTTTCTATTTCTAGGGAACATGTTCCTAAGAAATCCTAATAATACAAGTGCAGAGAATATCCACTAGAATATTCTCTTTGATATCCTACTTTGAAACTAGTCGTTACAACTCTGACAAAGGTACTCGACCTTGTTGACTCTTCGACTTCGACCCTTGTTGACTCTTCGGCTTGGGCCCTTGTTGACTCTTCGACCACTGACTTCGCCGCTTTTTGGGCTATTTCGACAAACGACAACTTGGGAACTCTTCCCTTAGTATTATCTTGGCTTAAATATTCTAAAGATAGATTTTGATTCATACAGTGCAGTATATTGCAAATAAGAGCATTATGAGTATCTTTCAATTTATAATATTTTTTTGAAATATTTTTTCTAAGTAAAAAAAAAATACCCGCATTTATGATTTTCAATGGAGTTTAGCTCATCTTTTTTCATTTTTCAAATTACTTTGCTAGGCTGCTGTATCAAAATACTCGCATTTATGATTTTCATTCATCTCTTTTATCACTTTTTTGTACTTGAGTTTCTATCATAATACTCGCATTTATGATTTTCAAAATACTCGCATTTGTACTTTTTCGGGACAAGATGGGTTGCTCTGATGGTAAGCAAGGGGAATTCTTGGAGGGAAGGATGCCGAGGGTCTATTTGGAAACAGTCTTTCTACCCATGGTAGGAGTAAGATTTGCGTACACACTACCCTCCTCAGACTCCACTAGTGGGATTATACTGGATTGTTATTGTTGTTGTAGTAGTACTTGAGTTTCTATCATTAACTTGGAAGTTTCTCTGTCTCTTTTACAGCATTGGTTTATGTAAAATATTGTAATATTATTGTGATAAACAATTGTCCAGACTTTATTCTCTAATATATAATGGGATGAGAAACGATATTCAGATTTTCTTTAGGAAATAACAAGAAAGTAAGAAAGACATGAACCACTTGAAATTTTAAACAGAAAATGACATACTCAAATAGTAATTGATTTTTCATTACTGAATAATTGAAAGTGTACATTACAGACTATTTACAACCAGAAAATAATCACCTTCCTATACTGCATACACATTTCTTCAACCTTCCAAACAAACAAAAGAAGAAATAAACAATATAATTGCAACTTAAAGGAACAAAATACTGGGGACCTGGCATCCATTGACCCCCACCATGAAGGGGGCTCAGACAAACAACAAAAGGTGGGAAAAATCAAAGTTAAAAAGAATGTTGAAAAGCCAAAAGATGAGCTTTTACGTTTAAAATTTCTTACTACTCCGAGCCAAGGATTTTGCTCTTTCTCAAGCTATCTACTCTCGTTGTTCCCTTTTAAGGATCCATCGCTCATCAATTTCAAGCTGAGACTATTATATCTTTCTCGTGAATACTGTCGTGATGCCTTTCTCCAATCTGTACCAGCCTTCATCATCGCAGTGAACTCCTCAAAACTGATGCGTCCGTCCTGCAAAAGTATAAAATGCAAGCACATAAAAACCTTGAGAAACTAACTGGGGCATCATCCAGAATAACGCCTGTACAAACAAATGTACAGCAGCAGAAAGGTTTAGAAGTCAGATGAGTCTGATGATATAACTGACCTTGTCCGTGTCCACGTCTTGCATAATTGTACTAATAACTTCTTCACTGTTGGTTTCAATCTCGTCAGATAATGCCTCCCTTAACTCGTCAATCTCTATATATCCAGTTTGGTTCTTATCAAAAAATTCAAATGCCTTCTCCAAGTGCTCATCATTGCCCATCTTCCTAAGGTGGACGGAGATTGCCACGAACTCCCCATAGTCCAGATATCCATCTTTATCAACATCGCCCTGTCGAAGTATCATTGTTTAGTTTTTCTTCTGATTTGGCAAAAAAGAAGATGTCTCTATCCCAATTTATGTGTTTATACTTTCCTTTTTTGTTGTTCCAAAAAGAATGTCATACTTCCTTATTTAGAAACAATTTAACATTAAATTTCCTATCTTAACTTTAATGAGATGATTTATAGCCACACTAATATCTATGGCATGTTCTAGACCACAAGTTTTCCTTTCTTTCTTAAAGATCGTGCCTAGTCAAACATCGCTACATACATTGGGACGGAGAGAGTAAGAAGCTTCTACGCCCATGGCTACCATTCTTCTACGGTAATAAGTTAAAGGGCAGCCTGGTGCACAAAGCATCCCTATTCACGCAGGGTCCGAGGAAGGGGCGCACCCCAAAGGGGTGTGATATAGACATTCTACCCTAACGGAAGCAGTAGTGGCTGCTTCTACGGCTCAAACCCGTGACCTATAGGTGATATAGTAATAAGTTCTTTTAGTTAATACTATGTATAACCAGATGTCTAGCAAGGGGGCATGAGAAAAGGTGATTCCATCAAAGCTACCAAGATAGAAGAAGTATGTAACTTAAAATTTTGCCAGGAGTATATTAGCTAAGCATCTGCAATCATTTCAAGTCGAAGAAAATAATGATTCATGAAAAAATTAACACTTACAGCATCCATTAGAATTTGTACGTCAGTATCAGGGACTTGATGTCCGAGCTTCTGTAATCCAACTTTCAACTCATTCATGTCAATCTTCCCTTTGTTTCCTATGTCCATCAATTTGAATCCCTCCTTTATTCCAGCCACCTCCTCCACAGACAAATGCTCAGCAATAACCTGCGAGGCAGAAAAAGCAATTTAAAAACAAAATGTAGAGAATTTGCCACCTGGTTTCAGAAAAATATTTGAATTGAAGAAAAAATAAGACGGAGAAACAAATAATCTTGTTTCACTAGGAGCAGAATTGCGCACCCTTAAAGCTCTTTTCTTTAGCTTGTTCATCATAGAAAATTGCTTGAGCCTTGCTTTCACTGTTTCACCAAGAGAAACATTTGGCGCCTTTTTAGCATTTTGTATCCAAGGATGGTCTGCAAAGAGAATATATTCGGTAATGAGTTGTAAATCTACTTCAACGGACTTTGAAAAAAGGGAATAATGAATTCTAAATTGGTAGAGAAAATGAACTTTGTTCTAGAGCATAGTTTACCTAGCACTTCCTGAGCAGTAAGCCTCTTGCTCGGGTCAGGGTTGAGCATCTTCTTCACAAGGTCTTTTGCATTATCAGAGACCTTTGGCCAAGGATCTCTTCTAAAATCCACAACAGATCGAATGATCGCTTGAGCAACTCCTTGTTCAGTTTCTGCAATGAGGAACAGATAGAAATTACATACATATGACCGCTAAAAACCCGGCAATAGTTACTTAATTGATAAAGCGCCTTACTGCACATAAATAATACTCTTCCATTTGATTGTTATCGTGGCATTCGGTAACTTTTACTTAGAAATGCAGTACAAAACATTTGGCAATGTAACTAAACCAACCTGCCCAAAAGGGTGGGACACCACATAGCAAGATGTAAAGAATGACTCCAGCACTCCATACATCTACTTCTGGACCATAGTTTCTCTTCAACACCTCAGGAGCCATGTAATAGGGACTTCCCACAATCTCATTAAATCTCTCTCCTGTAAAATCAGCACAACAGTGAATAAAATGCTCAACTATGCAAATCCAGCAGCAACATACAAATATTAGGAGTTTTACCAGGCTTAAAGAATACTGAGAGCCCAAAATCAATTGCCTTCAATGGTGCTGTTTCCTTCTTGTTTCCAAACAAGAAATTTTCAGGTTTGAGATCCCGATGCATGACGCCATGCTTATGGCACATCTATTACGAAAGCAAAGAAAATCATGAACTTTTCTCCAATCAAAAACAATAATTAACTCGCATCTTGTCCGCTAGTTAACTAATACTTCCTTATTCTAGGGGTCAAGACATTTAATCTCAGTTTACTATAAAAGAATGAGAATCACTCAGATAAATGGAGCAGTGTAATTAATCCATAAGATATTGATTTTCCAAAAAATTGAGGGGGATAACTTTGCATGACATAACTGACCTGAAACCAGCAACTAAGGGGTCGTTTAGTATGATGGATAAGCAACAATAATCCTAGGATAAAATTTAGTACCGCCTTATCCCTTGTTTGGTTACTAATCCTGGGATAAGTTATCTCAGGATTAAAAATAGTAACGGGATAACTTATACCTGCCAGAGGGTGGAATAGTAATCCCAGGATAAAGCAGTAAAATTGGCAATCCCAGGATTAGTACAACATTCCAAACAGTCAATAAGAAATAATATCAGGATAACTAATCCCAGCATAACTAATCATAATATAACTAATCCCAGCATAACTAATCTTTAATATAACTAATCCCAGCATAACTTATCTTCAAACCAAACGACCCCTAAGAGTAGGAGGAGGCATAACAAGTTTTGAGATCACTCTAAACACCCTAAAAAGAGACCTACTGAAAAGGAAAAGTCCTTTAAGTATCCCACTTTCTTAAAGAAAAAAATTTCTGCTACAACCTTTGCATCACTGGTCAAATTATGTGTGCACAATCTAGCATATTCTTACTGTGACCGAACGAAGCAATAACAGAAGGTTGACAACTAACCAAGACCCTTTAGATTGACATGTAAACAGCAAAGGAAGCAAAATTATATCACAAACAAACCAAGAATGTTGAATTTTCACCTGAATTACTTCGACAATAGTACGAGTCACAGCTGCAGCAGCCCTCTCAGTATAATGCCCCCTCGCGACAATCCGATCAAAGAGCTCACCACCCTCACACAACTCCATCACTAAATGAACTGCAATATCATCCTCATAAGTATCCTTTAAGGTAACAATATTAGGATGCTGAGGCAAATTCTTCATAATCTCGACCTCTCTCCTTACATCCTCAATATCTATTCTAGTCCTTAGCTTCTTCTTGGATATTGATTTACAAGCATAAAATTCACCTGTAGCTTTCTCAGTACATAAATATGTAACCCCAAATTCACCTCTGCCAAGCTCACGTCCTAGTTCATATGTGGTCTCAATATCATGACCTGTTGGATTTTCCAATACATAGGAGTTGTACCCACCATTTCCATGATTATGTGTAGAAAATGGATTTGGCTTATTTTTTCCCCTTTTTTGCTCATCTATATCAGTAGTACTTGGTACTGCACAACAATTTCCCATGAAAAATACCTTCAAAAACCCAACTTTTGAAGCTCAAAATCTTAGCTTTATGCAACTAATCAATAAGAACAAAGCTAACAGTTTTGACCCTCCTTATCTCCACCCAAAAGGGTCAAAGAATTTGACCAAAACACTAGTAAAAAGCAATCAAAATTTAATTTTGACAAAGGTAACACAAATATATCAAGAAAACAGCAAGTGGGGTTCCTTTTGAATCTTTCAACAACTCCAAAAACTAACTCAGAAAATTCTGAGATCTTAAAAACACCCAGTTGGGGTTTTAAATTTTGAGGTAAAGGCACAAAGAAACACCAAGAGAGTTCTATTTCCTAAAGAACAATGTTCAGTTCCTCAAGAAAACCACAATAGAAGAAACAGAAAGGAGTAAAAGTAGAATTTTCCAAAAAAGAATGTGAAAATTTAGAGGGAGTTGTAGAATTTGGAAGATGGAGGGGGTGATTTAAGGATGAGAAGAGGAATTTAGCGTGTAAAAATAACCCCCCAAAAGGTCAAAACCCCGTTTCGTGGCAACCTCTTATTCAACTGTAGCTCTGCACTTACTGACTCATTTCGGCTATTCTTGATTTTTACAAGATTGTCCAAATCAGAATCACATAGTAATAATCATAATTTATATTCACTTATTTATCTTTTATGTTATGAAAAATACTACTACTCTTTTGTAGCAAATGAACATTAGTTTAGGATCTTGGTGAAAGTTATTTGGCTGGTTCTTGATTAGTTTAATTGGTTTGGTTGTTTTAGCAAAGTAAACTTTGCTATGTATCTTTTTTTGTTTTTAGTCAGAGGCGAATATAAAATTTAAACTTATAGTTCGAGTTTGAAATCAAAGAACTAAGTGGGTTCGGAATATAATATTTGTACTTATGTAATAAATTTGTTAGAACTAGTGAGTTCGAATGAGTCCATAATATTAACACTACATCTGCCTCTACTTTTGATGATCAAGAAAAATTTAGTCAACAAAGGGCTTTGTTACGATGATTAATATTTAAAAATGTATATAACTAGGAAGTTGAAATTAAAAATTAATTCATCTGAGAAACTTGAGCCTTAACATAATTTACATGTTTTAATTTATCAGTGTCATTAGTCATTTGTTGTCATATAACCAAGAGGTCACGGGTTCGAGCCTTGAAAATAGGCTTTTGCAGAAATGCAGGGTAAGATTGCGTACAATAGACCCTTGTGATCCGGTCTTTTTCCGGACCCCGCGCATAGCGGAAGCTTAGTGCACAAGAGTGCCCTTTAGTGTCATTAGTCATTTGACAAATCAAAAAAATGATGCAAATATATGTATGTGAATTTATATAACATATGCGCGTGGTAGGAATTTTGTATTTTGAAGTTAGCAAAAGTCCTATATATCCACTTCTAGAAAAAAAAATAGGAATTGAAGTACACAATATATGCTATGTGCATTTGAATCTTCAGAAGATTCCTAAAAGTTGAGAATGTCATTGAAATTGGATTTTATGAAAGAATTTGACTTGGTTCTAGAACGTATGCATAATGCATCTAAGACCTTTGTTATTTTACATTTATTTCTAACGACATACTAAAAAGAATTCCATACACATTTATATTTATCAAGTTAAAATACTACTATTCTATATCTTATTATTCCCTCTATTTCAAAAAGAATAAACTTATTACTATTTGAGGAGCTAAACAAAATTTTCTTTGACCATATTTCTTACAAATAGTTTTAAATATTTTGAATTAATTATTAACTATTGTAACTTATTAAATTTTTGCCACATATTGGAAACATACTAGGTTTGTTGTTGTTGTTGCTTAACTTATACTACTTTTTATGGACCCGTTTGGCCATGAGTTTTGCCAAAATAAATTTGGGATTTATTTTCAAAACTCATGTTTGGCCATAAATTTTGTCCATATTTTGGCAAAATCCCAAATCCTAAAATCACCCCAATTATTGATTTTGGGTCAAAATCCCAAAACTCGGGAATTATATACATGTTTTTTCAAAATAAAGTTGAAAAATATGTTTTGAAAACGTATGTCCAAACACATTTTTATCTTCAAACCAAACTTCACCCAAATTAAATTTTTCAAAACAAATTTAGGATCTATGGTCAAACGTCAGCTATATAATTTCTATATATATTTTTGCAAGGACATAAAAGTATTTGCAGGCTTCAATATTGTTGAAATTGCCGTTAAATTAAAAGTTGCCTACTATTAGGTGAAGCACCCGCCAAAACTCACGGGGTCCACCACGTGTAGACTTCCCATTGGTTGATTTTCTGTCCACGGTGTTATGGTTCTAGAAGTCAAAGAGGACCATCTAGAAACTATAAGTGTAGTTACAAATTTGCCCTCCGTGACTAGACTAAAGACACGTCAACTCCGGTGACGCTGTTGAGCCCTCTTTTGTCATTACAAATAACATTCTCCCACATAAAAGGCAACGACGTGCGCTGACGGCTATCTGTCACGACTGCACAAATCAAGGTAGGGATCGAGTCTATGGTTGTCGTATTCGCAAAATATTTAGCTAAATTTGGTTGAAACTTTTAAAAATAAATTATGTTAAAAAATAATTTTTAAAATTTTAAGTTGTATATTGGCATGCGTTTTACTTAGAAAAAAATTAAATCTTTGTACTTGAGCAGTATTCGTCTCGCGAGTATTCTGTTGCAATAGCAGATTTAATGCTCAAGAACATTAAATAGCAAATTTAATGCTCAATGATTAGCAGTAAATATGATAGCATGAATATGTAATAAATGTAGATGATGACAATATTGTTGGACTTTAAGCCATTGGGCTTTAAAGTAGAAGAAGTGTGAATTGGAAATAGAGAGAAATAAAATAGAGAGAAAATGAAAAATTTGAAGAAGTGAACTTTTGTCTTGCACTTTGTCCCGCATTGGTGAGGGACAACCACATTTGTGTGCTTATATATATAATCACTTCTTAAAGCTCTTAAAAGGAGTTGAAGAGAATGAACCCCGCGTCGTCGTCGTCGCTCGGCTTTGGCTTTGGATTTGGATTTGGCTTTGGATTTGTCAAATGATCGATAAGATTATTTTTCGGACAAAATTTAATTGATTAAAAGGAGTTGAAGAGAATGAACTCTCGCGCCGTCGCCGTCGTCGTCGCTAGCTCGGCTCGGCTTTGGCTTTGGCTTTGGCTTTGGATTTGGATTTGTCAAATGATCGATAAGATTATTTTTTGGGCAAAATTTATTTGATTAAAAGGAGTTGAAGAGAATGAACCCTCACGCCGTCGTCGGCGTCGCTCGGTCGGCTCGGCTTTGGCTTTGGATTTGGATATGGATTTCGATTTGGATTTGTCAAATGATCGATAAGATTATTTTTTGGACAAAATTTATTTGATTATTTAATAATTAATTAAATGCCAAATCACTGCTGAAAATACGCCAGAATCCTGCTGAAGATTCAGAGGGTCTCTCTGGCCGTGGTGGAACCGCGGCAGGCAGATTCAGAGAGCCTCTCTGACCGCTGTTCTGCCGCGATCGCGGTAGAACCGGGGCAGGTAGATTCAGAGAGCCTCTCTGACCGCGGTTCTGCCACGGTCGCGGTAGAACCGCGACAGGCAACATATTCTTCTAAAAAGACACCTTTTCCAGACACCTCTTCTGATAATTGCCTATAAATTCTGAGGCAAGGCTCCATTTTCTATATACGAGAAACACTCCAGAACTTCTTTCTTTCTGAATACACTGCATCCTAATTCGCAGTCTCTCTCTTTCAAATTCGTAAGTATGATTTTGCTCCGTTCTTTGAGTTCGTTGGTATCCTGCAGTTTGTATTGCCACTGTTGCAGGAAGGTTTACTCCGTTTTATCCTGGAAGGATTTAATCCATTACCTTGGCAACATGTGAGGGGGTTAAAATTCCTTAAGGACGCACAAGAAAATTGTGGACTCAGAATATTTCTTAATGTTTACTGTTTCTTGTTCCAGTGTTTCCTTCTAACAGTTTTTCTTTAGTTTTCTCCTAATTTTGTGTTTCCACACAGGATTGTTAACAAGCTTAAGGAATTTTAACAATTACTAACGTTTCTGTGTTGATTATTAAACTGTTTTCTATATACTTTGTTGGAGACTAAAGCCTTGTTGCTTTCTACTCCAATAATTATTTCTGTCCGGTTTAAAGTACATAAAAACTTTACCGGAATAATAAACTTACGGGTTTGAAGTATATAAAAAAAACTTCACCATTGTTACGTGTTGTATGTTTGGTTTGGTATTCAGTTTGAAGATATCAAAACTTCACTGATTTAACAAGTTCTGTATTGTTTTCAACTTTACAGAAATATGACGAATGAAAACCAAACTAATGGAAGTGTTGCGGGAACGGGTGCTACTGTTACGAGTGTTGCTGCCTCGTCAAGCCGTTCTACTCCTGCTCATGCTATGGCACCGACAGAAAAACCCGGAAAGTTTTCCGGTATTGACTTCAAATGCTGGCAAATAAAGATGCTCTTCTATCTTACTACGTTGAGTTTGCAACGTTTCATCAAGGAGGATCCTCCGGTCATGGCTGAAAATACTCCGGAAGATAAATGACTTGTTGTAACTGAAGCATGGAAACATTCTGATTTCTTGTGCAAAAACTACATATTGAGTTGTTTGGAAGATGGCTTGTACAATGTCTATAGTGTCATGGAAACTTCAAAAGCATTATGGAATGCACTAGAGAAGAAGTACAAGACTGAGGATGCCGGACTTAAGAAGTTCGTGGCTGCAAGGTTTTTGGATTTCAAGATGATTGACACTAGGTCCGTCATAACTCAAGTCCAAGAATTACAAGTCATTGTGCATGACCTCCTTGCTGAAGGTATGACCCGAATCAATAATTTTATTAATAAGATTTATCTTATTATTAATTATGAATTTGTTATTGAAGGTATGGTCATAAATGAGGCCTTTCAAGTCGCTGCTTTCATTGAAAAGTTACCTCCGTTGTGGAAGGATTTTAAGAACTATCTTAAACACAAGCGGAAGGAGATGACACTAGAAGACTTGATTGTTCGTCTGAGGATAGAAGAAGACAACAAAAATGCTGAAAAGAAGTCACGTGGAAACTCGACAATAATGGGGGCAAACGTTGTTGAGGAGGCGCCACAAAATAAGAAGAGGAAGAAGGCTTCTGGACCAAAGAATTACCCAAGCAAGAAAAAGTTCAAGGGTAATTGCCACAACTGTGGAAGATCTGGGCATAAGGCCGTGGATTGTCGTGCGCCCAAGAATGATAAGAAGAAAAAGAATCAAGCTAACATGGTTGAAGATGAAATGGAGGACTTATGTGTTTTGTTGTCTGAATGCAACTTGGTAGGAAATCCAAAAGAATGGTGGATAGATTCTGGAGCCACCCGCCATGTTTGTGCTAACAAGGAGTTATTTTCTTCTTATGCCCCCGCAGGACCCGACGAGACAATCTTCATGGGAAATTCATCTACGGCCAAAATTGAAGGAGTTGGCAAGATTGCGTTGA